TCAATTACGCCTCTAAAGTTACGCCTGGAAAATCAACAATTCCGCTTGGAATCTGGCAGGAATTTTACACAATTTGATGCCTTATCTTTTACGCCTGGAATTTAGCAGGAATTTTTGGACTTAGAATTTATACTGTCAGAGCAGAGAGGGAATTTTGGAACTTAGAAATTTTACCAGCAGGAATTCCTAGGCGTAACTGAACTTAGAAATTTTACCAGCAGGAATTCCTAGGTGTAACTGAACTTAGAAATTTTACCAGCAGGAATTCCTAGGCGTGAATGAACTTAGAAATTTTACAAGAAGGAATTTTTTTTTCAAGGCATAAATATGACTTAACAATGCATTCAGTTAATGCTAGCAAAAATAATATCAATATGTATACATGTATATATACTATTATAGTGTTTTATTTCCAGCAAACATGAAAATTGTTGATAATACTATCACAAAAGAAAAAGTTTGCTATTCATATAACCAATAACATCATTATAATCATTTTTGAAAGTCATTTCAGTCACCTTCTAGTTTGTTAGGAAACCGACATACATAAAATGTGTTCAAATCATTGTCATCGCCATCAGTTTGAATTTCCAGAAACAAGCACCCTTCCTTAATTTTTTTAATGGGAACAAAAACACAATCATCAGTTTTTGTAACTTTCAGCCCATGGGAGTTCTCAGAATAATGTACAGATTCAAGTTTCTCCATGAATCCAGAACTGTGGTCTGATCATGAACAATAGTAAAGAGAAAAAATCTAACACGACCAAAGCAAAAATAACTCCCATCCTTATACATCACAGTAGAATTATCACGTTTCATCATTCTTTGGTATTGTAAACCATATACAATATGATTGAAAAAATCTATTCTTTTAAATTGTTCTAAACTTCTTATTTAAACTGGAGCATATAGCCAAGAAAATCACAAAGCTTTTTGTACTCATTCTCAACCAAAACTCGATCTTAACTTAATTCCACCTAATACATACACTCCTTTTTCTATCATTTCTCCTCTTATTAACAAATTAGGAGATTCAATGGAATTGAACAATTTCTCTAGTTTTGATCCTTCAACAGTACTTTCTACAAATTTCTGTTTTAACTCAGGGAGTTTTTGTACAAAAGATATACCTGTGACAATTTGACTATCAATGTTTTGTGTGCCTTGAGTCATCTTTAAAAGAAAAACAATTTTGAGAGCTGTGTCCCTGTTATGATTATCAAGAACATTTTGTACTATGATTCTGATTGATTTCATTTTCACTATAGCCTCTCTTTTTGAGATTCACTTTAAATTCACTTAAAATTTCGTTGAGTGCAGTAGTGTCACTAGTATTCCTTAGGTGACGAATGGTTTCGCCTTTAAGGAATCCCTTAAAGACAGAAGGATTATGAGCACTACACCGATCCAAATATTGGAACGTGTTGGTGGGTTTAATATACGTTTTGAAGTCCAGGATTAAATCTCTGTTGAATTTATTTCCTTTGTATACCGTGGTGTCTAGGAAATTCATACTTTGCTTAGAAATTTCATATGTGAATTTCAATAATGGGTGATGAGCATTGGCTATAGAGAAAAGTTCATGAATCTCATTTTCATTTCCATGAAAAATGATAAATCCATCGTCGCGATAGCGACCGTGATATATTATTTTTGTTTTCCCCAGAAATTTGTTTAGAATTTCGTTGGTGATCTGATGCAAGCGAATATCACATACAGATGGGGAGCATTAATAGATCCCATCGCACATCCTATAATTTGTTTGTAAATATTTGAATTAAATTCAAATATATTATTTTCTAGAATTAATCTGAGTAAATAACTCAGGTCCGTTGTGGGCGGGGCTTGGATTGAGAATACGCTTCTGTCAAATTCTCTGTAGGCCGTTTCAACGGCTGCAATTAGCTCCTCGAATTGCATGTTTGTGTAAAGTGATGTTACATCATAACTGACCAGCAGGCACTCGCTGTGTGGTCGCAGACGTTCTAATTTTAAAATGAAGTCTGAACTATCCCTAATAAATGTGCTCAAAGTATGAACAATAGGTGTTAAAAAATAGTCAATGTATTGACTTATTTTTTCTGTAGGTGCCTTTATTTGAGATATTATAGGCCTCCCTTATGGGATGATAGACATTTTGCAGCATCCATTTTGTTTAATGGTATTAAAGATTTCAAAATCCAGTTTGTGTATTTTAGGGAGTAAATATAATCTCCGTATTTTTGTGCTATCAGCTTTGTGTGGAAAGTTATAAGTAATATCATCAAGCACACCCTTGGCTTTCATTTCAGAGACTCTCTTACAGTAAAACTCATTTAGTACGAACACAGATATAGCGAATTCACGGATATAGCGAAGTTCTTCTGGGTCCCCGGCAAAATTCTTAACAAATCTTGGTAAAATTTTACGGTTATAATGAACTCTGATATAACGAATTTACGGATATAGCGAACTGATTTTGAGTCCCGTTGAGGTTAAATATAATGAAATTTACATCTTTTATAACGAACTTTCCAAGATTATTAAAAAAAATGATAAACTGATCTTACTTTATTTCCTTTTAGCATTTGTATATAAAACTCAATTCATAAGAAAACCTTAGTTATCGATGATATGTTTTGTTATATTTGCTTCACTAACATAGTTGGTATTAATACTTGAAAGAAAACATGCATAGTGCGAATTCGCTATAATGGTTATACAAATTCGTTATACGGATATAACGAATTACGGATATAGCGAATTAAATTCACAGGTCCCCAGGACTTCGCTATAACCGAGTTTTACTGTATCTATAAGTTCCTCAAGATGTTTTAAATTGGGATCTGTAATTCGGCAGTAATATTTTGAGTTTAATTGCCGTTCACCTTCTTTAACATAATCTAATTTACGCATGACAACACTCATGTTATTTTTGTCAGCTTTTTTGATAACAATGTCATTGCGTTTTTTAAGTTCTTTTAATGCCTTCTTTTCAGGCAAACTTAAATTGTCAGCAGTTCTACTAACTTCCATACTGATGACTATTCAAGTTTTGTTTTGTCAATATATGTTTGTATGGAGTCATTGGATAATAATGGTTCAAATCTGCTTTTTACTCGGAAAGGATGAATTTCAGTATTCTCATTAGGATCATGGAACATGTATCTACATTTCAATTTTCTAGCAAATTCATTGAAATCTCTCATGAGTGAATTTTTAGAGTTGCGTGAGCTCGGCGAGGGAATGAATTTGAGTCCTCTCGCCAGCAAAAGATATTCTTCATCAAACAATTTGTCCGATGTGAGATTAAATACATGTTCCTGAGCTAAGAGAACTTTTGTTTTATGCTCTCTTTCTTTATGGGATTTGTTATTATTGGCCCTGCGCAATTTGCGCTTAGATTTAGCGTTTCGATTGAAACGACGTGCCATTCTGATATGAATGTATTTAAGAACCAGCGCACGTGGTAGGTCACGTGCTACAGAAGAATCCAACTGCGCATGACAAACAGACAAATACTTTACATGCTTTAGTTATCAAGAAATATAATGCAAGCTTATTTACCTGTTTAATTAATCCCAAATTAAAACAAAACTGTAGTTATATCATTTCATGTGTACAAACTGAAAAGCAAAGTTTCTCAGTCGCAGAATTATGAAAGAATTTTAAAGTTATCAGTACGGACGGAATTTCTGTCCCTTTCTTGCATGGATGCGAGGTTTTTCAAAATAAAAATAAAATAGTAATTGAGAATGGGTTATTAGTAATCTTTTAATGTGTTGAATTATGGATGTTATTTTCTTGTCAAAATATCACTAAAAACAAAATATTTTAAACAAATATTGCAATATAAGTTTATAATAATGTTGAATCAAGTTGTACATACATAAATAAAAATTTAATTGCATTAAATAACAATTTTTCTAGTGTACTCTATCGTACTCTAGCGTACTCTATTTAGTAGTACCCTCCGTATATATTGAAAAAAAAATATATGACAGAATGATTTGCCCCACTTTTCTTACATTTTGGTAATAATAATGAAATTTAAGAATAATTCTTATTAAATTGAAGTCAACTTCACATATAACTTACACACTGTGTACATAGTAAGTTGATTTACACTTTCAGATGAAGATACTTTGAATGTGTTTGCCACCCAGGCACATGCCAAGTTTCTGAAAAAGGCCAAAGATGTAAGTTCTGTCCCAGAGGAACTTTTCACCTTTGAGGTATCCACCAGCAGTGCCAAGCATGATGTGAAGAGGAACAGAGTACAAAAAACCCAAAGGCTGAAAGAATCTGAAGAGCAGGAGGAAAGTTCTAACCTCAGCACAAATTCAGGCAAAAAACCAAGAAAGGAAAGCACAGAGTCTGAGCAGAATGGCAGAGAAACAGATAAAGGATTGGAGGAGAATGAGAAGAAAGAAAAAGGTACCAAAAAAAAGATGAAAGCAAAGAAAGTTGAGGTTATGCCTGAGAAGCTGAAATCCCTTCAGTCAGAATGTTCCTTGGCTTCCCAATTTACAAGTTCACATTCAACAGCACCACCCCTAGCACCAGTTGATCATACCCAGGAAACAGTGTCATCGTTCACTCAACCACTGGACGAAAACCATGTTCCAACATCCCAACCCCAGCAATGTATAAAAGAAAATCCAACACAACCAATCCTGCCAGCCTCAACATATATACAACCTCTAGAACCTATGAAGACAACACAACCAACAAGTGACATACCATTTCGGCAAACATGGGAAATGTGTAGCGATGCAATGAATTCCATTCAAAATGTACACTGAGGGTCTACATCACCTACAAATTTTCAGAGGACTTTTCCTGAAATACCTGGTAATGTATCAATATACCAATGCATTTTAATCCTTGATAATTAAGATAATAAACAAAAAGGAAAAAAAAATTCTAAGCAACTATAACTGAAAGAAGCATAATAATTTTGTACAAGTCTTTTCAATGTTTTAAAATTCCTTTTCAGTTCCGTCAGATGAGATACTGTAGATGTACTTTTTTTCCGCGGGGTCATAATTCCGCGGAATCTCAATTTCTGTTTAATCCGCAGGTAGAAAAGTACGCGGATTTCTTAGATTGTCATTATATGCCTTACATTTTCATTAAGTACGCTTGGAGAAATTTCCGCGGAAAATTTATGACCGCGTACATAGCATAAATTAATACCACGCGTAAAAAAAAGTACTTCTACAGTAATTAGGGTTTTGGAAGGAATAGTAAGACCTGATGTGCAAAACTATTTGAGGATGCTCCTGCACCATATAGAGCTCTGTAAAGCAAGGGTAAGTATGAGTGGTACATTCAGATAATAACCAGCAGTACACAAGTCACAGTACTATACCTAATTCTTAGGGCTTTAGATGTTATTTTTCAAACAACCTCATGAAAGTTCAATTTACAGTGATTACAAATTATATGTTTTATTTTCTTGAAATAGGCCCCATGTGGAGACTTTCAACCAAGGCCTCAAGACAAGCTAGTCAATTGGAGTGATGCTCATCAAACTTCAAGTGTTCAACACGACTTTACAGCTGAATATTGGCAAAACTTGGATTTTTTACCTTCAATTCCTACATCAGCACTAGCTGCTGCAGATCATGGACAGATATACAGAAACCTTTCACACACTATGACACATGAAACCCTGACAAATTCACCATCAACCCTGCCTGCACCACCATCAACCCTGCTAGCACCACCACCAACCCTGCCTGCACCACCATCAACCCTGCTAGCACCACCATCACCATTGCCAGCACTTCCACCACTATCACCCCCACCCCCACCATCATCACCTCTGCCAGCGCCATCCACTGAAAGTCATAATGAGACCCTTCAAATGCCATCACCACCACCACCACCACTGAGGCGCTCACCCAGGAAACACAAGGATGGACAAAAGGAAAAGGTACTTTTTATAAGAATCTTATAGCCTTGAAACATTTAGTAGTTTTAAAGTTACTGGTTAAAAGACTGCACTTGGACATTTAAGTTTAAACTTTTCACATATTTGTATGATTTTGAAGTATTTTCATTTCTATTTAGTTGTTTGTTTATTGAATTACTTTTTTGTATGTTTCCAACATTCAGAATATCTATTTTGTGCGTGTTTTAATAACCGAACTTTTCATTGAATGCAACCATATTTACAGTGTTTTTATGATATCTAAATAAATAATTGAAATTATTTTTCCAGATCAAGCTTATTGAGGGTAAAATCACCGAAGTAGACCCAGACGGCATGAGGATGGCTACATCAACTGCAAGAAAATCAAAGAGGCCAGGGTACACTTTATGTTACAAACTCCTGGCAGAAATTTTTTCATTGCAGACTCTGGCCAGTTCTCATGGCCAGGGGATAGGAAAAAAGACCAAAGACCCAAGGCCCGTCCTGGATGCCAACACAATCAGTGATCTTAAAAGTAAGAAAAACATTCTTTCTCCAATTGTTAAAAATTTGCTATTGCAAAATTTACAAAAGCATTTTAGAGTATCTAATTTAAAACGACAAAATGATCCTTTAAGTTAAGTAATTTTAAACTGATCCTTCTTTTTCAGATTATGTTGTTCTATGATGCAAGAAAAATGGCTTCGTTGTTCCATCAGAAGCAACACTGAATGACGCCGTAACAGAGAGGATAAGTTATGCAAGGAAACAGTTAAGGCCAAAAACAAAATAAATGTGACCTTGACATGAACGTTTAAATGCATGAACATGTATGAAGAAAATTTCAACTTTTCAGTACAAATGAGGAATTTTAAGTGTGACTCTGACTTCAATGTTTAAATGTATGATGAAAATTTCTACATTTTAATACAAATGTTGAAACTTCAATGTGACTCTGATTTGAATGGTTAACTTAAATGTGAATCTGACTTGAATGTTTAAATGTATGAGGAAAATTTTCACATTTTAATACAATTATGTTGAAACTTAAATGTGATTCTGATTTGAATGTTAAAATGTAAGACAGAAACTTTTACTTTTCAATACAAATGTAGAAACTTAATCTGCTATTTACTGTTTTGTTTTTTAAATATGATTGATCTTGTGCAATTCTATAGGGATGAAAGTGTGCAGAAATTCAGGTGTTGAAATGATCTTTAAACCAGGCGTAAAAATGAGGCGGAATTCAGACGTGAAGTAGGCGTAAATTTGTAGTGAAATCCAGGCGTAAATGTAAGGCGTAAATAGAGGCGGAATACAGATGTAAAATTTTTTGCTTTGAATCATACTTTCATGGAGGCATCACTAATTTGCATATTACACCTCTAAAGGCATCACTAATTTACATTTTTCGCCTCAAATTCCTGCCCATTTCCTCTTGGATTCCGTCTAAGTTACGCCCGGAACTTATGCATTGCCTTATATGCATTGCCAAGAAATGACGCCCGGAATTTCTCAGAAATTCCTCCTCCTTTACGCCCCATTTCCAGGCGTACATTTCGTACAGGCAACAACAATTTTAAAAAAATCTTCTTCTCAAGAACCACTGGGCCAGGAAAGATGAAACTCATGTGAAATCATCCTCAGGTAGTGTAAATTCAAGTTTGTTCAAATCATGCCCCCCGGGGGTAGGGTGGGGCCACAATGGCCGATCAAAATTTTACATAGGAATATATAGGAAAACTCTTTAAAATTCTTCTTCTCAAAAACCACTGGGCCAGAAAAGCTGAAACTTATGTGGAAGCATCCTAGGGTAGTGTAGATTCTAAATTGTTCAAATCATGACCCCTGGGATAGGGTGGGGCCACAATGGGGAATCAAAGTTTTACATAGAAATATACAGGAAATATCTTTGAAAATCTTCTTCTCAAGAACCACTGGGCCAGAAAAGCTGAAACTTATGTGGAAGCATCCTGGGGTAGTGTAGATTCTAAATTGTTCAAATCATGACGCCCTGGGTTAGAGTGGGGCCACAATGGGGAATCAAAGTTTAACATAGAAATATATAGGAAAAATCTTTAAAATTCTTATTCTCAAGAACTGCTGGCCCAGAAAAGCTGAAACTTATGTATTATATTTTACATAGGAATATATAGGAAAATTCTTTTAAAATCTTCTTCTCATTAGAACCATTGGGACAGGAAGGATGAAACTCATGTTGATCGAATCATCCTCAGATAATGTACAGTCAAGTTTGACTTTGTTCAAATCATGGCCCCTGGCCAGTGAGGGTAGGGTGGGGCTACAATAGCTGATCAAATTTTACAAAGAAATTTTTTTTTTTTTTAATTCTTCTCAAGATAGGAAAGATGAAATTCATGTTGAGTCCTCCTCAGGTAGCGTAGATTCAAGTTTGTTCAAATCATGTGCCCCTGGGTATAAGGTGGGGCCACATTTGGCCGATCACAGTTTTACATAGGAATATATAGGAAAAATCTTTAAGAATCTTCTTCTCAAGAACCACTGGGCAAGGAAAGATGAAACTCATGTGGAATCATCCTCAGGTAGTGAAATGGAAATCTTTAAAAAAAAAATTTCTCAAGTACTGCCAAGCCATGATTAGTGATATTTTTATGGAAGGATCCTCAGATACTGTAGATTCTATTTTGTACAAATCATAACTCCCAGGGACAGGGTGGGGCCACAATGGGGGATCTTACATTAAAATATATTTTAAAAAATCTTTTTCTAAAGAGTAGCAAAGCCATGATTACTGATTAGTGATAGATACATGTATATGGATGCATCCTCAGGTAGTGTAGAATTAAATTTGTTCATGATCTCCAATGGTAGGGATTTATTTAGGGTCTAAATTATGGTGGCGCGATCAAAGTTTTACATAGGAAAATAAAGGGAAAAATCTCAGTAACAGAAAAGCTATGTTTTAAAGTCATATATTGACATGTAAACATCCTCATGTATTGAAGATTTAAATTTGTTCAAATCATGAGTACCCTTTGGGATAGGTAGGGAAACAATGGGGAGTTGAATTCAAATTATTACAAAGTAACATATATACAAACTAAATGTTTAAAAAAAATCTATAAAAATCTTTTTCTCAAGAAGTTATATGCAGAATTGATATGGAGGCATTCTCAAGTAGTATATTAGAATTCAAGCCCTCTCCCTTCAGTATATTTATCTAATTTTCGAAGAAAATACAAGCAAGCAAAGAATTACATACTATACTAAGGGTCTTAGTACTCTTACACAAGGAAATAGCCAATCAAAATGAACAGTTAAAATTCCATATATATAGAGACAATTTTTTTCTTTTTTCATTTTTGGCATTTTGTTTTAGGCCTACAGTATTAAATTTGGACTAGCTATGAATATCATATCTTTAGCAGAATTATCCCACTGAATTAAAGGGATCGAACTCTTTTTGTGAATCCCACGTGCATTTCGGGGTAGGTCATAGTTTACTGTCAATTTTCTTTCTTAAAAGCCGCATAAGGCATATTTTTTCTGATCTCAAATTTTTGTTTAAGCATTAATCTTTATTTTCTCTTTCATGAATTTTCTGCTGAGAGTCTAATTAATTAAATAATTTAATTCAAGCTCTAAAGTAATATATAGTGAAATTATTGTGAGACCTAAAGATGGACAGGTAACTCTCATTTTAGTCACATTTCTCTGTTTTCAGGAGTTGTCTCCCCTTGAAAAGATCAATAATAGCGGATAAACAATGCGGCATGCAGTCTGGTCATCAACGGACAGTTTTGACACCCGTAATACCCGTATTTCTACCAATTACCTCTGTAACCTTTGTTGTGTTCATCACACAGGTAAGAAAAACAAGATTTTTAATTCAAATAATTTTAATGAGCTAAATAATAAAGAATATAAAATTTTTACATGTACAGACTCTCTCGTATAAGAAAATGTCACATTTTACACATACAATCGTACATTATTCATGTCCACATTTCCCCATTTACACAGTTGAAAATAATCAATGCATATAATGAACCATAAAAACAATTATTACATGTAACATAGTTCACAAAATATAATAAATACAAATTTTATACATTTGAAATGCATGTACATATCATCAATGCCCCCCCCCCCCCCTTCACAGTCTTGCAACTTCCTTTTTAATTTTGGATCTGTCCATGATTTAGTCTGTAAGTGTCTTTATATTTTTTATCGTACAGCTGATATCTTTTAGATCTGTAGTATTTTTTTTGAGATTTATATTTTAATAACAGTATTTGTTTCATTTTAAAGTAATTTGGTCTATTTTGTTGTTGTTTTAGATGATGGACCATTCTACTTCCTTTTACAACAGATGCCCCTACAGATTCACAAAGTTCCAGTGTTGCGTTTCCATGACCCCCATTCAGTGAGTGCACAACTTTATGTATTCTACTTTCAAAATTTGTACTACTTGTACATTTTGGATTTGATTTTAAATATGCCCTATTTACAGATTCAGATTTTTGTGTACAAGTATGATATTTGATTCTATCAAGATTACGTTGTCCTAAAGTCAAATTTATACAGTCTTTTAACAAACATTTGTCTTTTTGTCCCCCGCTTGAAAAGTGGGGGATATTAATTTGGGTCTGTCCGTCCGTCTTTCTGTCTGTCTGTAATGCTTTCGTTTCCACACAATATCTCAAGAACCCTTTGAGCTTTCGCTATGAAATTTTGCAAAGCAACTTCCTATGGACTAAAGAAAAACCCTATTGATTTTGAGGTCAAAAGGCCAAAGGTCAAGGTCATAAACTCACAAATTTTGTCTGTTATAACTTTCATTTCCGCACGATATCTCGAGAACCCTTTGAGCTTTTGCAATGAAATTTTACATAACAACTCCCTGTGGGCTAAGAAAGACCCCTATTGATTTTGAAGTCAAAAGGTCAAAGGTCAAGGTCATAAATTTACACATTCTCTCTTTGTGTAACACTATCGTTTCCAGGTGAGATTTCAAGAAGATTTTGAGCTTTTGCAATGTAATTTTATACCAAAACTCCATTTGACCTCTCTCACCCCTCTCAAAGTGTCCCGCCCCGATTGTTTTATTGGTATATGTTGTATTACATGTCACTATTTTTAGCACAGGGGAATGAGGAGAGTTATAACGTATAAAACAGGTTCTCCACGGACTTTATATTCTTATTTCGTCTATTAGAACTGTTTAATAAAGGCTAAATTAGACACCTTGCATTGTGTAAAATTTTGACAATATCGAACGTGAATATACACATGTATGTGACTTCATCTTCGCAAATAATTTTCACCAATTTAAAGCGGTTCCATGTTTTAGAGGTACATCTCTCGCTTCTTGTGTGAAAGGTTCTGGGTTCGATTCTCAGACGTTCCTTTCTCTTTTTTTCCCGAAATACTTTTTTTTACCAAATGAAAGTATTCAGCATGTGAAATGAAATCTTTATGAGGTCTGGCTTGCACAAACTCATAAAATCATCATTACAGTGTGATAGATATTCCCTATAAAAAGAATCTTCTAAACACATAATAAAGAATAAGCAATCAAATCTTTATATCCATATTGGCATATTTTATTTGCTTCAGTATACGCATGTACACGTATACATTTAATAATTCTACAAATTCAGTCAGAGTGATCCCCCCCCCCTCCACCGAACTGCGCATGGTTTACTTTTTCCCTAAGCGGGGGACACAAATTCTCTGAATTATTAGCTTGTTCTGTCATGTTTAATTCAAAGTCACTAGGTAACACTGAAGATTTCCACTTATTGCTTTTCAGTCCACAACAGGAAAAGGAATAGAGTTGACAGGACTTCCAGCACTGTCCCTGGTAGCAGTTTATGAGGGAACCAACCATAGTAGACATAGCATGCTTCATCAAAGGTATTAAAGTCGCCGGACTAGCAATTCTCGTACTCTGTCCTGCATCAAAGTTACAGGTCCAAGGCAAATCTTCTCTGCATGGATTTTCTTATGGCCTTGGTTCTTTCTGGAAACATGTGATTGCTGAATGGAGCCTTAGCAGTCTGTTTTCTTTTAGAGTCAAAGAAGTGACGCAAGTCCTTAAGTTTTCAATCACATGTCCTAAATCTTTTTGAGATGCTCCAGATGCAGCGGCACTGTCTCCATCACTGGTGAAATGGGATATGACTAGTGGACGGTCATCATTTTGTAACTCACCAACACAGTTAGCGGCCCATCTCTTCTCGTCTCCAATGGTGGTCTCCGGAGGAATGATTGCAGTGCAGTCTTTATGTCCTGGGCAGGTAACTTCCTTTCCTTTGCTTTATAGGTGTGCGCCTTTCTTACATATATATAGTTTATTCCCACAGAAAACTGCTACCACATTCTTCCGCTGGGTTACATTTTCTTTTATGGTATACATCACTTGGGTGGCAGCTTGGAATGGGGTTTTCCCAATGGCACTGAAGGTGGCATTATTGTACCGAGCATCTCCTTCCGCTCTGATGGGGGAGGGTATCAAGTAGTCCACATTTTTCATTGAGTTCTTGAATATTCTGCCGAATTTTCTTCATACTGTTTTTATTTACATCGGTAATAATTTTCTCCACTTTGTTGCAGGTTTGTTGCATGTTGGCGGCTGACGCTTGTTCAATATTTGCACCAAGAAGCATACCACGCATACCCTCTGTTGTAAGACTGGTACCCAGGTGACCGACAGCCATGGTCACATTCAGCTGTGGAGCTCTTCGTCCCCTGCCAGATTTTCTCACCTCTTCGTAAAGCTTTTCTTTGTGACTGGTATAGTGGCACTTCTTACATCCAATGGAAAGGATCCATGCCAGGCTTCGTTTTTCCTCCCCATGCTGATTCCAGTTCAGTGGACCATCACAGTCTGGAAACTTATGTGAGTGTTCTTTAAATGCATTGTTCCACAATTTAGCAGTCTTTTCTTGGTGAAGTACTTTGTATAATTTTGAATTTGGGTCATCTGACACAGATTCCATGTAGGTGTCTACTGGTTGGACTTCACTTGGATGGGTCGTAGAAACTTCATCTCACTGCTTCTGCTCTCAGCATCTATAACTGCAAACAATTCATTTTTCTATGGCCGCACAATGTCCTGAAACTCCTCTTTACTTAGTCTTCTTATTGGAACTAGAAGTTGGTCTGGGCTGGTGGTCCCTATTTTCTTCTGGCCTTTGTTGTGAGGAATACTTCCTTTTTTAGGTCACCTGAGTAGAAGGTGACCAATTGCTATCCGTTTTCGTCCGTCGTCGTGTGTCGTGCGTAGTGTGTTAACATTTGAACATTTTCAGCTTCTTCTCTGAAACCACTCAACCAATTTCAACCAAATTTAATACAGCATCTATGGGTGAAGGGGAACAAAAATTGTGAATTTTATGGTCCCCGCCCCCCTGGGGCCTGAGGGGTGGGGCCAAAACCACTAAAATTATTGCAATCTTTAAAAATCTTCTTCTTTACTCCTGGACATCAAGCAGGCAAACTGTTGGCATGAATGTAATAAGCATTGAGTCTTCTACCAAAATTGTGAAATTCATGGCCCCAGGGTCAGGGGTTCTAGTGCTAGGGCGGGGCTACATAGATTATATAGTGAAAATGCATGATTTCTTTGAAAATCTTCTTCTCTGCTTCTGGAAATTAAATAAACTAACTAAGTATATAGTTATGATAAGCAAGAGTGCCTCTTCCAAAATTGTGAATTTTATGGCCCCAGGGTCAGGGGTTCTGGTGTTAGGGCGGGGCTCTATTGGTTATATAGTGAAAATGCATTTACTCTTTGAAAATCTTCTTCTCTGCTTCTGGTTATTAAATAAACTAACTAAGTACATAGTTATGATGAGCAAGAGTGCCTCTTCCAAAATTGTGAATTTTATGGCCCCAGGGTCAGGGTTTCTGGTGTTAGGGCGGGGCTCTATTGATTATATAGTGAAAATGTATTAATTCTTTGAAAACCTTCTTCTCTGCTCCAGGGTATTAGATAAACTATGTAAGGAAATAATTATGTTAAGCAAGAGTGCCTCTTCCAAAATTATGAATTTTATGGCTCCAGGGTCAGGGGTTCTGGTGTTAGGGCAGGGCTCTATTGGTTATATAGTGAAAATGCATTTACTCTTTGAAAATCTTCTTCTCTGCTTCTGGGTATTAAATAAACTAACTAAGTACATAGTTATGATGAGCAAGAGTGCCTCTTCCAAAATTTTGAATTTTATGACCCAGGGTCAGGGGTTCTTGTGTTAGGGCGGGGCTCTATTGGTTATATAGTGAAAATGCATTTACTCTTTGAAAATCTTCTTCTCTGCTTCTGGGTATTAGATACACTAACTAAGTACATAGTTATGATGAGCAAGAGTGCCTCTTCCAAAATTTTTAATTTTATGACCCAGGGTCAGGAGTTCTGGTGTTAGGGCGGGGCTCTATTGGTTATATAGTGAAAATGCATTTACATGTACTCTTTGAAAATCTTCTTCTCTGCTTCTGGGTATTAAATAAACTAACTAAGTACATAGTTATGATGAGCAAGAGTGCCTCTTCCAAAATTATGAATTTTATGGCCCCATGGTCAGGGGTTCTGGTGTTAGGGCAGGGCCCTATTGATTATATAGTGAAAATGCATTAATTCTTTGAAAACCTTCTTCTCTGCTCCAGGGTATTAAATAAACTATGTAAGTACATAATTGTGTTGAGCAAGAGTGCCTCTTCCAAAATTCTGAATTTTATGGCCCCAGGGTCAGGGGTTCTGGCTTTAGGGCAGGGCTCTATTGATCATATAGTGAAAATGCATTTACTCTGAAAATCTTCTTCTCTGCTTCTGGGTATTAAATAAACTATGTAAGTATATACATAATTATGTTGAGCAAGAGTGCCTCTTCCAAAATTGTGAATTTTATGGCCCCAGGGTCAGGGTTTCTGGTGTTAGGGCGGGGCTCTATTGATTATATAGTGAAAATACATTTATTCTTTGAAAATCTTTCCTTTGCTCCTGGGTTTTATGCCAATGATCCAAGAATACTGTAAACGTATTACATTTGGCTGTGTATTCTTTTTAGCGCCTTTCGCGGAAAGCAGCCTCCGCTAAATCAAGTACATCGCTAAATGCTTTGTGTATAAAGGTTTATGTAAAGCACATTCAAAAAGCGCTAAATCAAATCTACGCCAACTTGTTGAAAATTCAATTTCCGCCAAATATCGTACACGCCAAATATAATACATTTACAGTATATATTTATGATGAAGAAAGGTGCATCTAGCAAAATGGTTATTTTTTATGCCCCAGGGGTGGGGGTGGGGGTACATAGTCTGAAAATAAATTAATGCTTTGAAATCTGCTTTTTTGTATTAATCAACCATTTTATGATAAAATTTGCAAAATTTTGAAATATGTGGCCCCAAGGTCAGTAGTTCCTTTGGGATGATGTGCACAACTGCTTATAACGTCGAAGTGCATTTTCTCTTTATTACTCTGATCTACCTTTGGGTATTAAGTAAATAGAGTAAGTATGCTAAGTCTATAATTATGATAAGCAATGGTGCCTCTTTCAAAATTGTGAATTGTGAATTTCATGGCCTATGGTTTAAAACACGAACCAAATTTAATTGTTTGAAAGTTGTTGCACAATACTCAGGTGACCTCTTGTTGTATTGATGATGATGCAACCATTTTGGTCCTTTTTTTGGCATATCTAATTATTTAACTGTATACTTGTAGACTTTTTTTAAGAATATGCTATGGTATGTGGTGCACATTTTTAAGTATTGTAAACTCTGTGTTGTTTAATTATTTTAAGGCTGCCAGGTCTTCTAAGAGAAACTCCATTCTTTGATGACTGACGGAAAAGCCTCATCATCCCCCACTGCTTAAGAACCCCTTATCTTAATCACCAGCCATTAATCAGTGATCACTGTTACCAAAGCTCCAAGGTACATTATTGAAGTCTCTTTTGACACCATTTTTTTTCCAGTCTCTGACTTTGTTTTAGAATTAAGATTTTTGCGTTTTTGCTAATTAATTCCTTAAAAATCAGTTAACTTCCTGTTTCTTAGCTAATTAGAGCTCATTAATTAGAGTTGAAAATTATTTTTAGCAGATAGCCAAAAACCCCAATATTTCAGCTTTCATTTCATTCAATTTTTTTTTCTCAATAATTCACTTATTAATTTTAACAAGTTTTGAAATCAATGTACTATAGATGAATTTGTACAAAAATTCAATAAACTGTTAGGAAAAGTTATCTCTTAATTATTTTTCATCCCTTATATAAGGACAAAAATAATTTTTTTTTTTTTTGCACTAGCATGTGAAAGATAAATAAATAATAGACATTTTCTGCAATTTTCATTTTATTTCATTTCATTAAATTTTAATTGTCTTAAAGACAATGGTTTATGATGAGCAAGAGTGCCAATTCAAAAATTTTGAATATTAATTAGCCATATATATCTAGATCAATTTTTCAGATTTTATTCCAGATTTTTGAATTTTGAACCCATTAGTCAATTTATTAATTTCTTCCAAAAGAAGCTGTTTTCCTTTGCTATTCACCTATAAAATAAGTTAATAAATTACTGAAAATTCTGATAGATAAATGAAGATACCGTACTCTACTTTTCTTCCTTAAATAGTACAATTAATACCATGAAAATAAAAACACTGTTAAATTTATCAACATTCAACATTGAAACTCGAAAAAATAAATCATTAATATACATGGAATTTAAATTAACAAAATTGTTAAACATAACTATGACTGCCATTTCAGTGAATGTGGATGGAAACCGTTCTGGTAACAGCTCTCCATTGAGGTCACCAATGATATCCAGGAAATTTGGGAGCAACACCTTTTCTAAATTTTCTCATTCATCTGACTCTGTGGCAGTAGGAGCAACAACATTATAAACAACCACCCAGCTCCTTCAGATCCTCCATTGAGTTGTGGAAGCAGCTCCTCATTTGTTGCACCTTCCAGCTCCAGAAATCAATTTAATTATGAACAATAAACCGTCTCCTTCACAAAGCTAAAATCCAAAACAGAGTGCAAGTCTCCACCCTCTCCTCGATTTAGTCACAGCTGAGGTCAGTCTGAAATTGAATCAGCAGCTCCATGTTCTAAAGATCAAGATCATCATTACACCAATTTAGGAATATATGTGAGGGAAAAGTTTTACTATCAGGAAATTTGCGATGTAGCCTTCAAAGTAGGGGACAAACTAATAGCTGCCCATAGGATTGTGTTGGCCTCAGTGAAGCCCACTTTTTGCCAGTATTTCCAAAAGGGAGTCTTTTCATCAAGAAGCAGTTGCCCCTAAAATTATAAAAGTACACAGTGTCGGAAGAATCCGTAATGTTATTTCTTAAGAGTTCTTGTACTCTGGAGAAATCAAGATCAAAGCAGCCATCATTTCCGACCTCCTTAAGATTCTTAAAGTGTTTAGAGAGTCCTGTGCCAGGATCTTGCAAAGTGGGTCTTTGTCTAATTCAAAAAAGGATCTGGTCTCTTTCACTTTGACAAAGATCTTTCCAATCACATTTAAGATGTCTGCGCAATAATCCATTTCCTCAATACCTTTTACAATTGGAAGAATTTTAAGCAGTTCTTCATAACTTGCATCATTAATACGATTCATGCACAGCTTTTTTATTTCCTGAACTTTAAAGATGCCTTGCAAAGTCTGAATGGGATGTTTTTTGCTCTGTTATTTCTTGGATATACCATCACGACTATGATATTGGAATACATTATTTAGAAGAACTGTTATCTTATGTGAGATTCCCACTGATGTCTCCAAAGGAGCTGTTCAGATGCTTTAAGGTCTTTCCTCCTTTGCATATATATATATATTCTAATCATCAGAAAGTTGTGGACAGGATCACTATGGCCAACTGGTAAGTACTGATAATTTACAATAAAATAATGAACATACTGGTGTTACTGTAAAATTCAAAACATTGAATAGTCTTTTTCCACTGAGGGTTATAATTTCATG